CAGATCTGACGGTGTTGCAAAGCCTTGCTCAATATTCGTAGCCACATCGTGGAGTTTCCCATTGGACGTTCGCGAGGGCTGCAGAGGCGGCGAGAGGCTGTGACCAAACTGCCTGATTGATACCAGCACGCGTCGATGCTGACGCAGCCCGAAACGTAGATGAATGTGAAGGCGCTAGTGGAAAACAGCGCGAAATAGAAAAAACGCCTCAGGCAACTGGAGAGACTCCAACATTGATGATTGACTTGCCCCGCATGGTAGTGAGAGTTCTAATACGCTCTGTTATGAGATGTTTTGATATATCCCCACGATGCTCCGCCATGCCACGGTATGTGTGGCTATTTGATGGTGTGCTCGATGTTGCGTTCTGTCATGTTCTGTTATACCAGAACGTGGTGTTCGTTTTTGTCTTATGCTCTGCTATGGTATAATGTGGTACGCCGAGTTCCGTCATGGTATGTGTTGTCAGGTCATGAAATGTTGCGATTGTGTGTTGTGGTGTGGTATGGTATGTCATTGTGTGGGCTGCTACGCTCTGGTATCGTGCTCTGTTCTGGTGCGCTCTGTCGTTGTTTGTGCTGTGGTGTGTGGATTGATTGTATGCACTGTATGCTCCATGGTGTCATTGCATTCGCTGTTATGATGTGTTTGTGTTTCAGGTCCTGTTCTGGCATGCTATGAAATGCTACCCGTTCTTATGTCATGGTGGTATGGTGTACTGTGGTGCGCTATCACATAATGTGGTATGCCGCGCTCGTTCTTGGTACGGCTTACCATGTCGTGGAATGCTATGTGACTGGATGTTGTGTTATGGTGTGGTCTGGTGTTCCATGGCATGCTATGGTATGATATGGTCTGCCATGGCAGAGTATGACATGCTCTATTATGTGGTGTGATCAGGTATGGTGTTATGACATGCTGAGTACGATCCGTTATGCCATTGCTCATGGTGGTATGATAGGTCATGTTATGGTGTGGTCAAACATCGTATGCTAAGCTAAGCTCTGCTATGCGTTGCCAAATGCGATGGGATGCGATATGTCATGTGTTGTGTGATATGATGCTGTGTTGTGATGTGGTGTGCATAGCATGTGATGGTGTGGTTTGCTGTGTTAGACCATGGTATGGCATGATACGGAATGCTATGTTATGTGTTGTATGCCCCGACCTGACATTGCATTGGCTTGCTGCGTTGCTCTGTGCTATGATATGCCAAACTATGTGAGACTGTGGCATGTTCTGGTTTGGTATGGTCAGGGCTGCGAGTTGTTAGTATCGTATGCTTGTGTTGACGCCTTATGCAATGTTACGTGGTGTGATGATGTGCTATCGTATGTGATGATATGTTATGATGTGTTGTGCTACGGTATGCTACTATATCAAGATCTGGTATGCAATGCTCGGATATGGTATGTTAGGCGGTGTGGTGTTATGTTATGTTATGTTGAAACGTATGGTATTATGCTGTGCTACGTTCTGTTATGTAATAAACGCTCTGTCAGGTTATGATTTGACGTCGCGAGGCGGGACACTCGGGGACATTCGGGGGACCTGGAGATCTGACGGCCGCGGTATGCACAGTTGCGCGAGGCGGGACTCTCGACGTCACCTGGAGGACCTGGGAATTTGGCGGCCGCAGTATGCAGAGTGGCGCGAGGCGGGAACACTCGGGAACACTCGGGAGACCTGGGAATTTTGCGGCCGCGGTACGCAGAGTGGCGCGGGGCAGGAATCCCCGGGACACGTGGGGGACTTGGGGATTTGGCGGCCGCGGTATGCACAGAGGCGCGAGGCGGGACGCTCGGGGACACTTGAAGCTTGGGGGACCTGTGAATTTGGTGGCCGCAGTATGCACAGTGGTGCGCGGCGGGACACCTGGGTACACTCGGGGGACCTGGAGATCTGGTGGTCGCGGTATGAAGAGTGGCGCGAAGCGGGACTCTCGGGGACACTCGGGGGACCTGGGGATCTGGCGGGCGCGGTACGCAGAGTGGCTCAGGGTTGGGTTTCTTGTGGTCGGGCCCCTACTGTAGCGCTGCAGTGGGCAGGGCAGCAGCGACGGACGGCGCCGTAAGCGCAGGGCAACCAGCCAGGAGCGAAATTGCACACCCAGGAAGAGCCCCCGAGATGACCCCAAAGGTCTTCTTAGAGGCCCTCACGAAGCTCCAAGACAGCCCCAGGCGGTTCCAGCAGCCAACGGGGTAGCGCCGAAAGGACCCGCACCCTCGTCGTCCTCCTCCTCCTCCTCGTCCTCCTCCTCCTCCTCCTCCTCCTCCTCCTCCTCCTCCTCCTCCTCCTTTATGTCAGCTTCCGTGTCGCCCTCCTCACTGTCCCCCCTCTTGTCCTTCATGCTGTCCTCCACGGTCTCATTCTCCTAGTCGTCTCCCCCACCGTCCATGTCGTCCCCCTCCTTGTCATCATCGCCATCCCCTTCGCCCACCTTCTCGAGAAACTCGTTCCTCGTCTTCCCCGCTCTGCCTCGCCTCATCCACGTCGCCCTCCGCATCGTCCATTTTGCCGCCTTCGTACCCCTCCTTCTCGTGCTCGTCGTCCTCCTTGTGCTCACCATCCTCGTCCGCGTCCTCCAACGGCACGCTCCGGGACTGCAATGCACTTCCGGCCAGACCGCATGGCACCAAGCGTACTGTCAGGACTGGACTTTCCTCCCCGATCTTGAGGACGAGACTGAGGAGTACGGCGAAGAAGACGGCACCGACGACGACGACGACGTCGACGACAACGAGGCGACAACGAGGCGACGGCACGGCGGCTCCGAGGGAAGCGGCCTGCACCGAACTTCGGCTCGAACGCCGCCACCCCGGCCAGGCTCGCGCCCTCGGCGCGCCAGGCCGATGAAGGATGTGTGGCGGGAGCTGCAGCTGCGCGGCGAGGAGGAGCCTTCCCGCATCGCCCTCGCCCTCGCCGTCCCTCGCCGTCCCTCGCCGTCGTCCTCGCCGTCGTCCTCGCCGTCGCCCCCGCCGCCGGTCCTGCCCGTCGCCCTCGTCGTTGCCGTCGCCCTCGTCCTCGCCGCCGTCGCCGCCGCCGCCGCTCGCCGCTCTCCTCCTCCCCGGCGCCCGCTCTTGCTCGCGCCGATGCCTCGGCCCGGGCGCCCGAGGGCGCCGCAGGGTCGTCGCCGCCCCCCCTCTGGGGCCACGGGCTGCCGCGGGCCGCCGCGGGGCCCGCGGCCGGCGCCAGCGCCGCCGCCCTCGCGGGCGCCGCGCGGCGGGCCCCCCCCCCCCGCGAGGCGGGCCACGGCAGCCAGGAGCCCGCGCGCAGAGGGTCCAGGTCGCCCGCGGGGGCGCGGAGGAGCGGCTCGAGGGCGAGGGGTCGTCGCGCGCGGCGTGCTCGGATCGGCGCTGGGCCCCCCTGGCGGAGGGTGCCGCCCCCGGCGCCCTCCGCGCGCCAGGAAGGGGGGTGACGGCGCTAGTCCAAGAGATGTCCGTGCGGACATCCGGCAACGCATGTTTATGGTGAGTGTGTGACTATCAGTACGACGTTTGATGGCATTCCTCGTATTCGGATTGTCATTTGTGTATGTAAGGGTTTCGCCCCGTGCCGCCGGCCCCCTCTCTATCATAATACAAGATATAAGAGTCGCGTCGGCGCGACTCGGCGCTGCCTTGGCGCATCTGGAACATCATGCGGGGGCGGATACGGAGGGGGCGTTGGTTAAGGAATGTGCCTAGGAGGCTTCAAAACCTGGGGGCTTCCTTATCTGATAAAGGCGCTGGCGGTATCCATGGCCAATCCACGGTCGAAGTTACGCTGGTTTCGAGACCCTGGATTCCTTGTCCATTGGTTCCCTATCCAATGCCCTCACCGTAGGAATCATCAGCGCAGATTGAGACGTTGGCGTTATCGAAGACGCCTACGGCGAATCACCGCCGCCTCCTGCTTTTTTGGAAGCGCCTATGTGGCCGAACGTTGAGGCCAGATCTGCCAAGCTATCGGAACATGTGTTCCCCGAATCGATTTGGAAAGCCTTCGGGGAACACGTGGGCATCTTGAAGGTCATCTTGGCCGTCTGGAGGCCATTTTGACCCTTTCGGGCCTTCCTGGAGGACGTCTTGGAGGGCTCTTGGGCCGTCTTGGAGGCCATCTTGAGCGTCTTGGAGGCCTCTTGGGCCGTCTTGGGGGCCTCTTGGAGCCGTCTTGGGCCTCTTGGGCGATCTTTGGGGGCACTTGGGCCGTTTCGGGCCGTCGGAAGGCCGAAAAAAAACAAATGCCACAATCCTTCAAAAACTCATGGGAAATCAATGATTTGGGCCTTGTCGGGCCTTCCTGGAGGCCCTCCTGGAGGCCTCTTGGGCCGTCTTGGGGCCATGTTCGGCCGTCTTGGTGAGCTCCTGGCCCGTCTGACGCCGTCGGGAGCTGTCTTGGGGGCCTCTCTGAACATGCTTGGGGCCATCTTGGGGCGCTTCGGGGCCGTCTTGGATCCCCCCGTCCCCCACGGACTTGTGTTGCCTTAGGCCATCCTGGTGAGCTCCAGGGCATCAGCATTCACTATCTGTAGCTCCCGTATGAGAGACGAAAAAATCTGCGGCCGTCTGCGCCGGCTTTGGCGCGTGAGCTGCCCGCGTAAGGTCGCGCGTAGGCGCCCTCGTCTTCAATAATGCGTGCCGCGCTGGCGGCCCGCGCATGCCGCCGCGTAAGGTCGCTGTGCGATCTCGCACAAGGCCCGCTTTTGATCGTCGCTCATGTGTGGTCTGCTTCCACCTGTGGACCAGACACTGTGTGCTCGGGGTCACGGGTCGTCGCGGCGGTACGATACATAGCCGTGCGCGTGTGCGCTGCCGGCGCGGCTCATGACGCGGCGCCGCGACATGTAACAGTTGGTCCTCGCATGTTGCACATGTCGGTTAGCGCACGCAGTGTGAGACGTGTGTATGGCTGTTGCGTGAGAGCTCCCGCGTGCGGCATTTCGTCGTGCTGTGCTCTCGTTGCTCACGGCGGCGATGCCATATCGTATTTGCGCCTTTCAGGAGCAGCCGCTCTCGAAGCCCAAGGCCGCACCCGGGCGGCAACATGCTAGCTCGACCAAGGACGGGGCAGCTCGCGTAGCACCCCTTTCACGCCAAGGGAGGGGGGAACCCAGGCTAGGCAGGCTGGGAGGAGACTTGTCCGAGGTCCTCTCCCCTCAGGGAGGGGACGCTCCACTCTGGCATTCGAGCCTTCCTCGTACAACTCGGACCCTCCATGCAAAAGCAATGCAGCTCGTCCTGTTCCGAAAATGCCATGCAGCTCGTCCATCGACAAGCGATGTAACTCGTTCGTGCACCGTCCTGGTGTACTCGCACCCTCCTCTAGAAGGTCCGCCTGTGTCGCGCTCCCGCGGGCCAGCGTATGTCCATCTCAGGCTTGTGGGTCGCCATCGGGTTGCGGTCGTCGTGAGCGCTGACCGCCGCCCTCCTCCTCCTCCTCGTCCTCCTCCTCCTCCTCCTCCTCCTCCGCGGCTGCCCTGGCCCAGCGTCCTCGCGGCAAGTTACGGGAGCGGTGGCTCAGATTTCTTGGCTATCGCATCCTCCTCCCCGTCCTCTTCGAGATGACGCTCGCGCCTGCACGTGCAGGCTTCTCGACCCTGTGCTGCACTCAGGGAGTCCCCAAGCTGATTGCAAGGGGGGAGGGGCTCCCCTGTTGTTTTGACCTCGGCGGGAGCACAGTGCCTCCCGAACGCCCTGCGGCCAGCCCTCCTGGCGCGAACTGCGAAACCAGGCCATTCGCAGACTGCGAGCGAGCGAGCCTCCTCCTCTTCCGCCCCCTGCTCCTCCCGCGATCCAGGCTTGCACTGCAGCGTCCGCGTGCGGCCTGGCGGTGGTACGGTGTGCTTCCACGGGGGCCAAAGTGTGGCGAACACGTCTTGGGCAGATGGTGGAGCTGCCGGGAAAAGGAGAAGGAGGAGGAGGAGGAGGAGGAGCGGAAGGGGAAGAGGGAGGAGGGAGGGCTAGGATCTCGAGGGAGGAGGAGGAGGAGGGTAAAGGGGGACTTGGTTGAAGGGGGTAGAGTCGAACATATGATTCAGAAGTCCCCTTTCCAAATAGTTGGGCCAGCGTTCCTTGGCCAACTTACCCGAAAAGTGGTATAGTTTCTTGAGCGCGTTCGCCCTCCAGAGTTGATGGCCGATTCTCAGAACCCACCCCAGAAGTTCCCAGAAGTTAGCCCATCTTCCTTAAGCGATGCATTTCTTGATCGCATTCTCGGCTGCACTCGTATTCGTGTCAGCTCGTCACAGGATCTCCTCCGCGTTGTCTTATGAATAAATTTTGGTTTTTTGCAGACATCTATGTGTATATCTGTATCTATATACATATAGATATATGAATATACATATAACCCCCGGGGTTATCGTTAGCACCGCACCACGAATTAATGTTTCCACGGGATCGTTTTCGCAGGGCGATATCTTTAGCACCTCGCACAAGTCAAACACACACAAATCCGTGGCGCGTCGCGCGACGCGCAAAAAAGACATCCTTGGGGATGCCTTTGGATATGCTGTGTATGTCCTAGGACATGCTACGGACCAGCAAAGGATTGCCTCGGGAATCCCAAGGATCCGAGACTCGTAGGAGATGCTAAGCGCCCCTCGCATTGCCTTGGGAATGCTGAGGACATGCGAAGGATAGGGTCAGGAATTTCTGGGGGCTGCTATGAATTCCCGATGACATGTCAAACATTTCCTGAGAAATACCAGGGATTCCCCCGGAGATGCCAGGGATGTTCTAAAGATATGCTAGGGGTCCCCTAGGACATGCGAAGGCTTTCCAGATGAAGCGATACGGCGTTCCTGGGAACACCGAAGGTTGTCCTTGGACACGCGAGGGGGAGTCCCAAGACAGCCTGCGAACTACGACCACCCACGGGGCCACGAAGCGCGCGGTAGGCGTGCCAGACAATCACCACCCACCAAACCACCCCAACCCAACCCGAAGGCCCAAATTTATCCTCGATTTCCAGTGGGGGGGGTCGTGGAACATCGAGAAAAACACGTATGGAACCCTTACCCCCCCCAACCCGAAATTCGGGTCTTCGGGTTGGGTTGGGGTGGTCTGGGAGGTAGTCAGACAGGGGCCCGTGCGGACGCAGGCAGCAGGGCCGTCGATGGAGCTCCCTGCGGGGCCACGAAGCGTGCGATGGGGTGTGCCGGAGTGGACCCGCGCATCCACGCGGGCGCAGCCACTGGGGCCTTCGCTCGTGCTCCCTACGGGGCCACTAATAATAATAACAACAACAACAACAATAGCAATAACAATAATACTAATAATAATAATAATAATAATAATGGTAATAATAATAATAATAATACGAATAATAATAATAACAATAATAATAATAGTAATAACAACAATAATAGTAATAATACCAGGGGGATAATACAGATCATAGTGATGATGACAGGGGGCAAAGAGGAGAAGCAAGAGCAAGGGGGAGGGAGGGAGGGATGAGGGAGGAGCAAGAGGGAGGGAGGGATGAGGAGGGGGGGAGGAGGAAGGACGGAATGCAGGAGGGAGGAGGGAGGAAGGAGGAAGGAAGAATGGGGTTCACGTACGGTCAGACTGATCATGACTGGACTCCGAGCAGACTGCGAACGCTGAGAAAATTGATAGTGTATTGCTGTATGAGCAAACTGCTGAGCACTGCAAGCGCGCCCAGGGACTGCGTTCTTAACAAAATGCTGAGCATTGGAACGCGCCCAAGGCACTGAAAGGACTGGGCTCAGAGGAGGCCCCTGAAAGGCGCGCTGCCGGGTGGCCCGAGGCGGCTCAAGAGCTGACCTTTGTGGCTGATCCACTTCCGCGTCGTTCTGCATCTGAACGCGTGCGAAAGCCCTCACGCCTTCCCTGAGGGGCACGTCATTGTGGAGCTGACGCGTTCGTGAGAAACTGACCTCTGTGGAGCCCTCTTGAACCAGAACGGCTACTGAGGAGGAAAGAAATGGGACTCTGGAGCTCCTTAAGGGGCCCCCACCAGCCCTTTAGGGCGCATGTGGTTTAGAGCGTTTCCTCTTCCAATCCTTTTCTCCCCCTTCGAGGAGGGGTTCACCTCATCGCCTCAACTCGCCTGGGCGTCGTTTCTGGATGGGGCGGTGGGGATTAGCGAAGCGTCAAGAATTGCTGAGGACGTTTCTGGATGGGGTGGTGGGGGTAAGCGAAGCGTCAGGAATTCTGAGGAACCCTCTGGGGGGAACCCAGGGGGGGGGGAGGTGCGCGCTCACGGCCGAGAGCCTAGGATTGTCCTCCTCCTCCTCCTCCTCCTCCTCCTCCTCCTCCTCCTCCTCCTCCTCCTCCTCCTCCTCCTCTGAGGTTATCAGTGCAATTCCCTTGGGGAAATTGATTTTCGTGGGCCGTCCTGGGGGGGGTCCACCCCAGGGTATCGCCCCCCTCCCCGCACAGGGGCGTTATCTTAGCACCCGGGGACGCGGAAATTCCAGAGAGCCCGGGGAGTGGACACACAATGAGTCTAAATGTGAGCGAATATGAGCATAATCTTCAGGATAATAACGACAATGCGTGTGTGTGACGAGAATGAGAATACAAGTAACATTAATAGTAATAGTAAGAAGAATAATCCTATGCATACAAGAGCACGGCGAATTGTACTACTCATGCGAAGAATGATAACATACTAATAATAATAGTCATACGGATAAGAACACGAGTAAACAAGGATGCGAATAATAATAAAAAAAAATCCGCATACGAATGGCAATCATAAAACGAATACGAATACGATTAAGAATGCGAATACGAAGAATGATAATACGAGCACGACAAAGAATACGAATACGAACAAGACACAGAGTACAAATACGTAGTGCACATAATAATACTAATCAGGGCACGAATACGTATAAGAGTAATGATACGAATAAGAATGAGAATCCGAGGAGCGGTCCTAATAATTCAATTAAGACTAATGTTGGTAATAACGTGTAATACTACGAATAAGCATAATAAGTACGACTACGAACACAGAGTTAGACCATTCACAAGAATAAGAAGAATGATAAACAATACTAGTAACCGTAATACGAATAAGAGTGCGAATGCGAGTACTATTACGAATAAGAAGACGAGTAAGAATATGCATATTAGTAGTAATACGGATAAGAGTAAGACTGCGAATAATAATATCACTACTAAGAATAAGAATAAGAATAATAATAATGTACGAATAGAAATTCTAATGCGAATAATAACCCGCCGAAGGGTAATAATGCGAGAAACAGTACGAATGCGGTGCCAATCATACTACTACGAATAAGACGAGGAATGCGAATAATAATCCGAACAAGACTGCGAACGATAGGAATAACACGAATAAGAGTACGAATACGTATACTAATCAGAATGCTAAGAAAAAGAGCATTAAGAACGAGCATACTAGTAAGAGTACGAATGTGAATTTGAATAAGATTAGGACTACTCTTAAAAATGGAAATAAGAGTAAGAATACGGAGGGACGGACGGAGGGAGGGAGTGTGATTGTGAGATGTGAAGCGATTGCGGCTGGATTGCCGCCTGAGCAACATGCCGAGCATTGAAAGCACGTCCTTTTCCTCGAGCTCCTCCTTTGAGATTATCATTGCAATCCCCGAGGGAATTTGCTTTTTGTAGGCCGTCCTAGGGGGAGGGGGGTCCATCCCAGGGTATCGCCCCCCTCCCCGCACAGGAGCGCTACCTTAGCACCCGGGGACGCAGAAATTTCAGAGAGCCCGAGGGGTGGACACACAATGAGTCTAAATGTGAGTGAGTCTGAGCAGAATTATCGCAGTAATAACGACACTATGTGTGAAGATATTGAGAGTACAAGTACAATTAATAGTCAGGATTAGAAGAATAATAATAACAATAATTTGCATATCGGAGCACGGCTAACAATAATCATGCGAATAAGGAAAATAATAATAATAAACGTACGGATGATAAGGCCAATGATAATAAGAAGAATACGATAATAGTAATGAGAATGCGAATTAAAGTGATGAAACGAATACGAATACGATTAAGAATGCGAATGCGGATAATAATAAGAACGCGACAAAGAATATGAATCATAACAAGAGGCAGAGTACGAATACGTAGTACACCTAATAATACGAAGCTGAGCACGAATGCGTATAAGAGTAATAAGACGAATAAGAATAATAATCAGGGGAACGGTCATAATAATGACTCAAAAAGAATGATATTGATAATAACGGGCAATACTACGAATAAGCATAATCAGTACGAATACGAACACAGAGCTAGAACATTCAGAATAATATGAAAAAGACGAACAATACGAGTACTCAGAACATTCCTAAGAATACGAATACTAATACGGCTACGAATAATAATACTAGTAGGAAAACGCATACTAGTAATAATACGGACAAGGATAAAAATTCAACCAAAAATACTATTACTACTAGTAATGATGAGGATAATAGCAAGAGTACGAATATAAATTCGAATGCGAATGCTAATTCGTAAAATGATCGGAATAATAGTAATAGTACGAATGCGGATTCGAATGATAATACTACGAATGAGAGTAATGATGCGTATCATAATACACATGAACACACGAACAGTAGTATCAATACGAATGAAAGTGCGAATGCAAATAGTAATCGGACTTCGAATAATATGAAGAGTAAGAATAAGCATAAGAAGAAGAGTACGAATCAACATTCGAATCAGAGTAAGACTATTCATAATAATAGAAATAATAATACGGAGGGAAGGACGGAGGGAGGGAATGCGATTGTGAGATGTGAAGAGATTGCAGGCTCAGCGGGGCCCAGCGGGATTCCGCCAGGCCTGGCGCCAGGAGATGCAGTGGATGTTAGTCTAAAAGATTCCCGCAGCCAGAGACCCGCGATGTGAAGAGATGGGAAGGGCGAGCAGGGTTTAGCAAGGCTTAGCAGGTGATAGCAGGGCTTAGCAGCGCTCAGCAGAGCTTAGCAGGGGCAAGCAAGGCTTGGCATGGGCTTAGCAGGGCTCCGCGGGGATTAGCAAGGCTTGATTTTGCAGGGGCGAGCAGGGCTCAGCAGGGGGCGAGCAGGGCTTTGCATTGCTTAGCAGGGAGCTTAGCAGGGGGCTCAGTAGAGCTTAGTGGAGCGAACAGGGCTTAGCAAGGCCCAGCAGGGGATAGCAGGGCTTAGCAGGGCGCAGCAGGGCTCAGCAGTGGGCGAGCAAACATCTTGCTTAGCAGGGCTTAGCGGGAGCTAGCAAGGCTCAGCAAGGCTTAGCGTGGCCCCGAGCGCTCTCTGCGGCTCCTCCGGTGCCGATGTAACGCTTCCAGGGTGCCGGATGCGTTATACTTTCACCGGATGAAAGGGCGGGGGGTTCTTAAAGGCTTGGTGAGGATATGTAATCGCTTCGGTCATTCTGCCGGCCCGTATTAGTGCACGGCTGTCGAGTGCCCGTGTGGTCGTTGTCATTGGGGTGCTGCTGGGTCGTTTTTTTGTGTATGGATGGCTGGCTTTGGGTGGTTTCGCAAACGGGAACCATTCTTTCCCCGCCTGAACCTTCTGTTTCGGAAGGTGGCGGCTCGTGAATACGATCGCAGGGAACAAGACAACATTCTGCAGTTTCCTTTTTGCATTATTCGGGCCCCTTGTGCCCTTTGGGGCCTCTTAGGAGCCTCTGGGAGCCTCCAGGAGGCCTCTTGGAGCGGAAGGCTCGGATTTTCGGTTCGTGGTTTCCATCTTGGGCCTCTCTTGGGGCTCTCTTGGAGTCCTTTCGGACCGTCTTGGGCGCCTCTTGGGCTGTCGTGGGGCTCTCTTGGACGGTGGTGGGCCTCTCTTGGAGGCCTCTTGGGCCGTCTTGGGGTGGTCTTGGAAGCTTCTTGGGCCGTCTTGGAGCGTCGGAAAGGCGAAAAGGCGAGGAAGCCAAAAACCTTGAAAAACCCAAATGGAAATCAATGGTTTTGGCGCTCTGAGGCTTCGTGGACGTTCATTGGGATCTCGTTGGATGCCTCTCGAGGGCTTCTTGGAGACTCTCGGGAGTCGTTGTCGAGCCTCTTGGGGTCTCTTTCGGGCCCCTTGTCGCCTTTTGGGGCCTCTTGGGGGCCTCTTGGAGCCTCCAGGAGGCCTCTTGGAGCGGAAGGCTCGGATTCTCGGTTCGTGGTCTCCATGTTGGGCCCCTCTTGGGGCCCTCTTGGGGTCCTTTTGGACCGTCTTGGGCGCCTCTTGGGCTGTCGTGGGGCCCTGTTGGGCGGTCTTGGGGCTCTCTTGGAGGCCTCTTGGGCCGTCTTGGGGTGGTCTTGGAAGCTTCTTGGGCCGTCTTGGAGCGTCGGAAAGGCGAAAAGGCGAGGAAACCAAAAACCTTAAAAAACCCAAATGGAAATCAATGGTTTTGGCGCTCTGAGGCTTCGTGGACGTTCATTGGGATCTCGTTGGATGCCTCTCGAGGGCTTCTTGGAGACTCTCGGGAGTCGTTGTCGAGCCTCTTGGGGTCTCTTTCGGGCCCCTTGTCGCCTTTTGGGGCCTCTTGGGGGCCTCTTGGAGCCTCCAGGAGGCCTCTTGGAGCGGAAGGCTCGGATTCTCGGTTCGTGGTCTCCATGTTGGGCCCCTCTTGGGGCCCTCTTGGGGTCCTTTTGGACCGTCTTGGGCGCCTCTTGGGCTGTCGTGGGGCCCTCTTGGGCGGTCTTGGGGCTCTCTTGGAGGCCTCTTGGGCCGTCTTGGGGTGGTCTTGGAGGCTTCTTGGGCCGTCTTGGAGCGTCGGAAAGGCGAAAAGGCGAGGAAGCCAAAAACCTTGAAAAACCCAAATGGAAATCAATGATTTTGGCCTCTTGGGGCTCTCTTGGAAAGGGTCGGGGCTCTCTTGGGACGTCTTGGAAGCTTCTTGGGCCGTCTTGAGGCCGTGTTGGGCGTCTTTGGCCGATCGTTCGGTGATTCGGAACCCTCTTGGACCGTCTTGGAAGCCTGTTGGGGCCCTCTTGGCGCGCTCCGGGGAGCGTGGAAGGCCGCACCCAGGAGGAAAACCATCTCTGACCCGAGTTTGCTGGGAGTGTCCCGGGACCTTGCCAGGGTACTTTCCGGCCGGGGGCCCCCAGGGGCCGCTCCGCGCGCGCGAAGTATAACCAGTTACCGGAGATCTTAGCACGTCTCTGGCCCGTTGGGCCGGCGAATATATTGGCTGTTCCGACGCTGCGCGGATCTCTATCGAAAACGAACACGCACATGGGCTGTTTTTCACTCCCAGGACTTTTTTGCGGGTCGGAGACGACGTCGGGGGTGGTCTGGTGTATACTCATTTGATCCGTTTCCCTGGGAATGAACGAAACATGAATACACCAGGGTCCCGAAAACACCCGGATTCGCGTTTCTTCGCAAATTTCGTGCAGGGCCAGAAAAAGCGTCGGTGTATAGAGTTCGGTTCCCTACTCTTGCAATCGCTTCACGTACACATGATTCGTCGTGGGATTGTATCATCGGTTGCTTGTGCAGTCGGCGACCGCGCGTTTGTGTCCCGGCACCGCCGCAGCTGCAGCCCGATCATCAAGACAGGGCCCAGACCTTTACCGTGCTCTGTCTACTCAGTCCTCACCACCTCCTCCTCGTCCTCTTCCTCCTCCTCCTCACCCTCATCCTCCTCCCCCTTCCCCGCTTCCTCCTCCTCGTCCTCCTCCTCCTCCTGCTTCTCCTCCTTCCCCTTCTCCTCAATCTCCTCCTTTGCATATCCTCCTCCTCCTCCTCCTCCTCCTCCTCTTCCTCCTCCTCCTCCTCCTCCGACCGGCAATGAGTGTACCTTGTCGGCGCCGATGCTTGCTCAAAGTTGGAGCGCAGTCCCACTGTATCGGTGTATCGCGTGGTGCACGCTCCCCGCCCCAGCTTCCAGTTCAGTGGCCAAGCGGCTGAAGCCAACTTCTGCCCCCCCATGCGCGAAGCCGTACTCGACGCGACACCACGGCGCGGCGCGCGCACAGGTCGTCCTTGAATCTGGAGACCCAGGACTGGATCCCTGTGGGGAGGGTCGCCCCGTGGCCCGACACTTTGCGCATGCATGTGTGCAGGTGTGCGCCGCTCCCCGCTGCCGAGGCTGGCCGCGCCAGCGCACTCAGGATGGCAGCCTTCCGCCTCTGAGTGCCCCCCTCCTCCCCCCCGGCCTCCACGGCCGCCCTGTCTGTCTCAGTCTCTCCTCCTCCTCCTCCTCCTCCTCCTCCTCCTCCTCCTCCTCCTCCTCCTCCTCCTCCTCCCGCTGGTGCAGTAACCTCTGCCTGACCGCCGCAAAAAAAGTTTAGGTGTGCGAGTCGGCGTGTTTGCTCATCCGTCTTCTGTGCTCTGCACCCCATCGCGCCTCTGTCTGGACCAGGCTGGGTCGGCCAAGCAGTCGCAGGAGTCGGATCTGTTCGACACCGGGTTCACTCTGCGCGACATCAGCCCGGACCGTCCCTCAGCTTGCTTCGACCCTGATATTGCAGCAGGTAGTTCCCATTCGCTCCCCAGTACCACTGGGATGTATGTTCGGCGCCAGGAAGGCAGTGGGAGACTGGATCCAGTTTCGTTGCCGCGCATCCCTACCACCGCACAGATTGTTCACCGTGTTCGGGCCCCTGCCGGGGCCCTCCACAGGGCCCAGGAGGAGGAAGAGCTGGTCCTGGGGAAAGCTCCGGGGTCTAGGACCCAGCTTCTTCCAGACCCCGTCATGCCCTTCACCGCGAACCGACATTCCGGGCCTCTTAGACAGGACTGGGGCTCGACTTTCTTCACCCGGACGTCGCCGATGCGTCGCCGATGCATCGGCGGCGGCGTGGTGCGATCCGCCGACCCCATCTGCTCGGGCCCCGTGTGGGAGGCCCCCAGATACCGACGTTTGTGCTGGAGGGCCCTCGGCGACACGGCTGGAGTCGCGCCGGAGTTCTGGTCAGAGCGCGCCCTGGGAGAGATCCTTGGAGGGGCGGTGTCGGCATCTCTCTGTTCCCCCGCGGAAGGGCGGGGACGACGACCAGCAGCAGTTCTCGCCCACTCTCAGCAAGGTTCGCTCTCAGCGTCGCCGTAGATGTTGTCGATTTGGAGAGAACGTCGCCTGCCTAACAGCGGCTGGGTGCAATCCGTCGGCCACACCTGCTCCGGCCCAATGTTGGCAGCCGCAGCGCTCCCGCCCCCCCTCAAGCGCGCCAGCGTCGGGAATTCCATTCCAGCGCGCGCCTACAGAGTCGGGGGTGATGAGCGGCTGAATACAGTCAACCAGCATAGCAAGGAAGGGCAATGTTCCCCAGTGGTACCCCTGCATCCTTCCCTCCAAGGTCCATCCCTGGCTACTTTCGTGAGCCGCGCCCCGCTCGAAAAGCCTCGAAGCGGCCTCCCACGTCCCTTGCGTCCTTATCGCGCATCCTCAATATGCGGGTCGCCTGCACCTCACCCTACGTCGTCACTGCACCTGCGCCGACCGTCAAGACATCTCCCCTCGTTGTCGCTTCGTCCACAGTGGAGACCCATGCCAAGAAACGCCCTGCTTGCCTCCAGGGTGCCCTGGGTTTCTCGGGTGTTGATGGTTTCGCCATGGAAGCCGTGGCGCTCCCACACCAAAACTCTGTGGACGTCCCGTCCTGGGGTCTCAGGGTTGGGTTTCTTGTGGTCGGGCCCCTGCTGCACTGCCCAGCAGCTCCTGGAGAGGCCGCCGGGTGCTGCACGACGACTGCGAGGCCAGGTGCCCTGGGGGCCGGCACGCAGGAGCACCCTGGGCGACGATTGGCGAATCGGGTTCCGGGGCCTGCTCGTGCACGTCGTCGTCGTCCTCGTTGAAGTTCTCTGGCCGTCCTCCTCCTTCTCCTCCTCCTCCTCCTCCTCCTTCTCCTCCTCTCCCTCATCATCATCATCCTCCTCCTCCTCCTGCTCCGCCTCCTTCGCCTCCTCCTCCTTCTCCTCCTCCTCCTCCTCCTCCTCCTCCTCCTCCTCCTCCTCCTCCTCCTCCTCCCCCAGCGGCGGACAATTAATTACGTGTATGTGTAATCACCCCCGCTGGCTCGTTTACACTCTACGGGCGAAGAACGGTATAATATATATATATATATATATGTTCGTTGTCGCGGACGCCTGTCTCAGGGCGGCTGGAAAGTGTATACCCTTGCGGTGGCACGTCAAGGTATAAACTTTCCAGCCGCCCTGGGGCAGCGCCCCCGGTGACGGAAAAGTTTGTTTTATGCCGTTCTTCGCTCGCTACTACACGCTCTACGAGGCGCAGGCTGTCGGCCCGCCATGCGGATGGCGACGCCCCGTCTGGGTCGCTCGCCAGCTCGCTGGCTCTCTGCAGCTCTGCCCTCCCCTGGGCGTCGCCCGTTCGGCGTCGCCCGCCGCTTGCCGGCCCCCCGCTGCCCGCCAGCCCCCTGGCCGGCCCCGCGCGCCGGCGGCGCACAATGCTGCCTCCGCCGCCGAAAAGGAACAAGCTGCCTCCGCCGCCGCGCTGCCCCGCCCCTGCCGCTGCCCCGTGAGGGGCTAGCGCCTTCCCCCCATTCTGCCCCCCGGGGTCCCCAGCACGTCCTTGGGTGCCTCGCTGGGCCTCGGCGTTCGCTCGCGCCGCCGGGACTGGCTGCCGAGCGTGCGAGTGGTTTCTCGGCCCCCGCAGCGTGCGATCAGAGTGTGCGTCCTCGTCCCCCTTTCTGCGCCTTTTTCTGCAGCGCCACCTTGCATCAGCTCGCTCACCGCGTGCACCTTCACCAGGCTGGACGCGGACAGTCCGCTCAGCGTTCGCCTCAGAATCTGACCAGAAGAAGAGAAGGAGGAGGAGGAGGAGGAGGAGGAGGAGGAGGAGGAGGAGGGAGGAGGAGGAGGAGGAGAGGAGGAGGGAGGAGGAGGAGGGAGGGGGAGGAGGAAGGAGGAGAGGAGGAGAGGAGGGGAGGAGAGGGAGGAGGGAGGAGGGAGGAGGAGAAGAGGAGAAGAGGAGAAGAGGAGAAGAGGAGAAGAGGAGAAGAGGAGAAGAGGAGAAGAGGAGAAGAGGAGAAGAGGAGAAGAGGAGAAGAGGAGAGGGAGGGAGGGAGCCTCCTCTGAACCACCACCCTGGCTGCACCTCCCCTCGTTCTCCCGCGTCTCGCCGCTCCTCCCCCGCCCGAGGCCGCGATCCGGACCTGGCTGGCGCTGCAGATCATCAGCCTGGTGTTCTCTGTGCTGCTGTGGAGCGAGGTGTCCGGGCACCTCGCGGAGTACGACGAGACAGGCGCCTGCGCGGGTCGACCCCTGCGGGGAGCGGCTCGGGCCTTCGCCGAAGGACGCACGGCATGAACACGAGCTTGTGGCGCGCCCCGCGCGGATTTCTTGGAGATCTGCGCTGGACCCCACCACCCCCGGCGGCGCCTCCAGCGCCGCCCCTTGCGCGCCCCGCGCGCCAGGGAGGGGGCTCCAGCGCAGATATCGAAGAAGCCCGCGCGGGGCGCCAACACTTTCTGCTCACAGCGCCGTCTTTGATACATGCTCCGCGTGCGGATCGTGCATTAACCATGCAGGGGTTTGGTATTAAAAGCAACGAAGGGCTCATGCAAAAAAATAAGCACACATTAATAATGAACTTAAGCTCCAATATTAAAAGTCATATGTATCAAAACCTGCCCTGTACGGCGTTGTTTTTTTTTCTACGCCTGGAGGGCCCTGAGGCCCTCGAGCTGCCCAGGCCAGACGCGGGAGAGCAAGGACCACCTCGCAGAGCGCACAACAAGTTTATGTTTACGCCTGGAGGCTCGAGCTTCCTAGTCAATCCTGGAAGTCGGGCCTGCCCCTCTACAGGAGGAAGATTCAAAAATAGTGTGTGTACATATATATATATATATATATGGAGACGTTGTTTCTTATGTGTTTGTCGTGCTTGGAAGTCTTCTTGTGCTGTTTTTCAGTTGTCCGCCAAAACCCGCCTGCAGGAGGGCACGCCCGACCTAAGGCAAGACGCAGGAGCAAGGACCACCTTCTTGGGCTCCGTCTGGTGTTCGGGCCGCTGGCTCATATAGGTCGAGCTCGTGGAGAACCTGCTCGTGCCCGAGGCTCGCCGTGGCCTGCAAGGCCCCTTCGTTCCCTCCTCCTTCTTCCTCCTCCTCCTCCTCCTCCTCCTCCTCTCTCCTCCTCCTCCTCCTCCTCCTCCTCCTCCCCCTCCTCCTGCTCCTCCTCCTCCTCCTGCTCCTCTCTCCTCCTCCCTCCTCCTCCTCCTCCTCCTGCTCCTCCTCCTCCTCCTCCTCCTCCTCCTCCTCCTCCTCCTCCTCCTCCTCCTCCCTCCCCCTCCTCCTCCTCCTCCTCCTCCTCCTCCTCCTCCTCCTCCTCCTCCTCCTCCTCCTCCTCCTCCTCCTCCTCCTCCTCTCATTCGGCGCCCCCTGCTGGGTGACACGACGGCTGTAAGCTCGAGTTTTCCGATGGCGCCGAGTCGCCGGCAGACCGCTGGGCGCTTTGGGACGCACCGGTCCGGTGGGGGGCCCTTCCGCCTCTGCGGCGCTTGACGGAGTCCCGCGACGGCTGGGCGGCCGCCGGCGGGGTGCCCTCGGCAAGGGGTTTTTTGGAGGGAGGAGCAGGGCAGGAGGGGGGAGGGCAGGGGGGAGTGGAGAAGAATAGAACAACATCGCGGAGAAGGAGAAGTGAGGGAGGCAAAGAGGCAGGAGGAGAAGGCAGAGGAGGGCGACGCCGTCATACACCTATTTGGGAGCTGATGACAGGGTCAGAACAGACGGAACGCTCCAGCACCGGCGGGAGGAGGAGGAGGAGGAGGAGGAGGAGGAGGAGGAGGAGGAGGAGAAGGGCAAGGTTCTCGATGGCCTCAGGGGCGTTAGCATGCTTGGAGTGAATTCTACGTGGTTCCAGGCCCCTGCCCAAAGAGACGCTCCGAAGAGACGTCCTCCTCGTCCTCGTCCTCACTCTTCCTCGTGCTCTTCCTCCTCACCTCGTCATCCTCATCCACTGCCTCCTTCACCTCCTCCACCCTCCCCCTCCCCTCCTCATCCTTACCCTCCTCATCTACCCATCCCCCACTCATCCTTCCCCCCCCTCATCATTCCCCCCCCCCCCTCATCTTTCCTCCTCATATCCCCCTCCCCTCCCCCCTCTCCTCCCACGCCATCCCCCTCCTCCCCCCTCCTCCCCCCTCCTCCCCCCTCCTCCCACTCCGCCTTTTCCTCCTCCCCCTGATCCTCATCCTCGTCTTCCTGGCGCCATACCAACGATGGCAAGGGGAAGCTCAGTCCATGCCATCAACCTTCACCTCTAGACGTGTCGACAGAAACAAACAGGACGGGCGCTTTTGTCTGCGACACCGGCGTCCAGAGAGGGGTGCCTTCGGAGCCCAGATCGAGAAGCAGCTGCCCACGACGAGATCTGGTCCCGTGGATGGGGCCGAGAAATCTGCGGCCCACGTCGAGGAAACAGTGGCGGCATTGGAGGTCTGGGAAGGCTTTGTTCTGTGCTCACCTAATCCGTCTCGGGTCACTGCACAGCCATCAGAGGCAGCGATAGGCGGGGATAGCCATAGGGGGGACGCATCGACCACCAATCGCCCATCGATCGCCGATATGTGCCCGATAGCCCCAACTTGCCCAGGAAGGTGCGGATCCACTATCGGGGGCCGATCGCCGATCTACCGGCGATCTGCGATCTATCGCCGATTCCGTGTCGATGCGTCCCCCCTGTGCCAGTCCACCTCCCATCGCTGCCCCTCAAGCCAAGCCGAACAGTGGGGACGTGTTGTTCTCCAGGGGTGCCCATCCCTCCCTGCCTCTCGGCCCGCTCCCCAGCCGTTGGCCACGGAGGGAGTGGGCTTGCGTTCGGGGTGGCCAGGGGCCGTGCATGTTCACCGTAGGCGTACGTCGGTCCCTCCACAGGAGGAGTATCCAAAAATTAGCATATGAAAAACAAGTCCGGGGACGGTGCTCGACCATTTTTGATTCTGGTTGAATCTTGTTCGAGTCTGTGCGTTCCTCCAAAATCCGCCTGCAGGGGGGCAGGCCCGACTTGACCGCAGGCTCGTGCCCACGTTGACGCGGCGGCGACCCCGGCGCGGGCGTTCCCAGAGGAGCGCCGCCGTCGGCCCGGAGGCAGCCGGGACGGAACGGCCAGTCGGGCAGGACGGAAGGGGGGGGTTGGGAAAGGGGGGCTTACGAAATTTGCTGCATGCAGCTGGTTTCGGCCCCGCCGAGGGGCCCGTTCCTCGACACGTGGCCGCCGCCGGCGCCGGGAGGCGCCGGGAAAATCAGCCACGTGAGCTGATTCTCAACCCCCCCCCTTTGCTATCCCCCCTTGCGCCCGACCCGAGCCAGGCGATCGAGCAGCGATCGGGGCCCTTGCGGGGCGAACGCTCCGCGCGGCGTCGGGGAGCAGCGCCGAGGCCGCCAGGACGCGGAGCCGCCGCCGCGCTCGTCCTCGCGAGCGGGTCGCGCGGCCGTCCGCCGCGGGCCGGCGCCGTGGAGCGCCAGGGCGCTGTGGCCAGCAGGAGTGGGCGGGCCAGGAGCGCAGGAGGAGGCGAAGGAGGAGAAGGAGGAGGAGGTAGGAGGAGGAGGAGGAGGAGGAGGAGGAGGAGGAGGAGGCGGAGGTAGGAGGAGAAGGAGGAGGAGGTAGGAGGAGAAGGAGGAGGAGGAGGAGGCGGTCCATGAGCACAGGAGGAGCGTAGAAGGAGCGTAGGAGGTCAAGGAGAGGGAGGAGGAGGAGGAGGAGGAGGAGGAGGATGAGGCGGAGGCGGAGGCGGAGGTAGGAGGAGGAGGAGGCGGACCAAGAGGAGGATGAGGAGAGACTGTACGTACTACGTGCAGTTGGGGCGTCATGGAGCTCAGGGTCTCCGCATATTACCCGGCAGGTAGGGGAGAGTAGCGCATCCACGTCTTGCGCCTTGGGCCCCGCTCCTCCTCGCCCTCCTCTCCTCTCCTCGTCCGTCCCCTCCCCCGTTCTTCCTCGGTATGCCTCCATCCCCTCATCTATCCTGTTCCCTCCTCACTCATCACCCTTCCTCCCTCCTCCTTCTCTGTTCATCCACTCTCCCTCCATGCTCACTGTCCTCCTCCCGCATCCATACTCCATCCTCCATGCCTTCCTCCTTCCGGCTGGTCCTCCTTCATCCTCCCTGCTTATCCTCGCCATCCTCACCCTAATCCTCCAATGCTGCACGCTCTCGTACGGCTTGCGATCTTGGCGCAACCCCGTGACTATAATACCCTTCCTGACCTGATCTCGATTCTGCCCAGCTCAGAAGGCGGCGCCGATGCCATGCGATGGTCCATGCCGCGAGGAGACATGAGAAGAAGATGAGGAGAGGAGGGAGAAGGGTGATGCAGAGAGACGAGGGAAGACGGGAGATGAAGATGGGGGGAGGTAAGAGGAGGGAGAAGGGAGGAGGGAGGAGGGAGGCGACGCCGAGGAAGAGGAGGAGCCAGGAAGGAAGAGGGCAGGAAGCTGGCAACGACGCCGGCGACGAAGACGACCCCGCTGCAGGAAGAGGACGAAGAGGAGGCGGACGGGAGGACGGTGAGAGCGAGAGGAGGAGAAGGAAGAGGGAGGAGGAGCAGGAGCAGGAGAGCGATGGCAGAGACGACGAGGACGGCGGCGGCGACGACGGCGACCCCGGCCCAGTCGCCCGCGAGTGCTCGCAGCCCCAGATGGCGGCGCACGGGGTCTGCCACGGCCCCGCGTGGAACGTCTCCGCGTGGGAGGACTTCGTGGTCGGGGGCCCGGAGTTCATCCTCAGGCCGGCGCCCGCCCACGCGGGGTCCAAGGGGACGGGCCCGCCGGATCGCGCCGCATCGCCGATGCATCCGCGGCGCGGCTCGATGTGGAGCACACGTTGCCGATGCATCGCCGATGCATCGCCGACGCCTCGGCGATGCACCGGCGACGCGGCGCGATGCTCCGACTCCAGTGAGGCAGCCTTCACCCCTGTTTCCAGGAAAGCTCTGGACAACCTTCTTGAGGACAAGCACCCAGCAAACACACACGCACACACGCACACACACACACGCACACACACACGCACACACACACACACACACACACACGCACACACACGCACAGTCACACACGCACACACACACACACACACACGCACGCACGCACGCACGCACGCACGCACGCACACGCACGCACGCACGCACGCACGCACGCACGCACGCACGCACACACACACACATGCATGCACACACACACACACACACCCTTTTAGGGAAGCCACCTCCCATTCCCTGGGGGTTGGGCAGCATCCTGGGAACGGGGGTGCCTGCTTTGTCTGTCGGCGTTCCTGGGAACCCCACGAGGCGGGACTAAGATTTGCTGTGGCTCGCTCTCTAATGGGGCGATGACGGGCAGCTTGATGGCGCTTCGGTACCCGCAATCTCTGTTACATCCCCCTTCTCTTTTCTTATCCCCCATATCTTCCTCCTCCCCGTCCTCCCTCTTCCGTTCATCCCCCCCTCCCTCCCTCCCCTTCCCCCGTTCCTTCCCCCCTCCTCCCGTCCCCCCCCCCGCTCTGATCCTCCCCGTTACTCCCCCCGTCCTCCCCCCGTTCCTCCCTCCCTCCTTCCGTTCCTCCCCCCCTCCTTCCGTTCCTCCCCCCCTCCCCCGTTCCCCCCTCCCCCGCGCCCCCCTCTCCCTGCCCGCTCCCCCGCCTCACCTTCGTGGTCGGGGGCCCGGGGGGCAGCCTCAGGGCGGCACTTGCTTTGCGGTAGGCTCGGGCTGTCTCGGCGCGGGCTTGCCCTGTCTCAAGGCCCCATAGCACGGCTTGGGTCCGCAGAAGGTTCCTCTGCGCCACCATGGCCATCCTGGGCAATCGTATGTCGTATTGACCCTCGTGGCCTCGGACAGGAGGGCGTGAAGGGGGAAGAGGGGGAGGAGGAGGAGGAGGAGGAGGAGGAGGAGGAGGAGGAGGAGAAGGAGGAAGAGGAAGAGGAGGAGGAGAAGGACGAGGAGGACGAGGGGAAGAGCACGAGGAGGAGGAGTAGGAGGAGGAATCTGAGAATGAGGAGGAGGAGGAGGAGGAGGAGGAGGAGGAGGAGGAGGAGGGGGGGATGAGGGAGAGGGGCAGAAGGCGTGACCAGGTTTCACCAGTGCTTCGTGTTGGTTCCAGCAGGTACCCCGCTGCTCTTTAACGTCGAAGGTGAGGGGGAGGAGGAAAGACCAGTGTAAACCCAAGGTCCACCAACGACATTGCAATACAACCTCCCTCCAAGTTCCCTCCCCATAGGTCCCTTGAAGGGTTCATTCTCACTGATTGAAATGCCCCGTTGGAAGACAACCGTTTCATTTTCCTGAACTATACCAGAACACCAGTATTGGGACTTCAGTGCAGCGATACACGGTGGCCATTACGACTTAAAGATCCTGAACCATGCCAGAACGCCGTTCCTGGGATTTCAACACCGCGAATCAATGTGACCGTTGCGCCCTGACATCCCGGCATCGGGCCAAAACACCGCTTCTGGTACGTGACCAATGAGAACCTGTGATATTGCTGCAGACTCTCAAGACGAATATGTGCGGCGCTGAGGCGAGAGCCACATGATGAACAGGGACCGCCCTCCACCCGTTAATTCTTTGTTTGCACACCTGTAGAATGAAAGTGCGCGGCGCCATGGCGAGAGCCACATGTTGAAAGCGGGCTGCCCTCCATCCGTGACATTCTTGCAGCTGGTCAGACGCATGTGCGTGGCGCTGGTGCTGAGGCGAGAGCCACATCTCGAAAGCGGACCACCCACCATCCGTCTGACTCGTGCAAACTAGGGCGCGGCACTGAGGCGAGAGCCACATTTTGAAAGCTGCACGCCCTCCATCCGTGAGTCAGTTGGAAAGGTTAAGCTTCCTGATCATAAGTGGTGAGGAATATGAGGCACAACGCCCGGCTCGCCCTTTCGGCCGGCCTCGGGGTGTGACAAGGAATAACGATTTATACATAGAGAAGCGGGATGGAGAAGGATGAGGAGGGGAAGGAGGATGAAGAGGGGAGGGGGAGGGCGACGGGGAAGGGGAGCAGGAGCAGGAGGAGGAGGAGGAGGAGGAGGAGGAGAATAGAAGGGGGGGAGGAGGAGGAGGAGGATGGGGAGGAGAGGAGGAGGAGAGAAGGGAGGAGGAGGAGGAGGAGGAGGAGGAGGAGGAGGAGGAGGAGGAGGGGAGAGAAACCAGAGCACCTTTCTGCCTCGGGTAGGCGAGGACGCAGGAGGGGAGGGAGGAAGGAGAGGAGGAGGAGAAGCCGCATCCTCCATGGGCGAGCGATGTCCCCAGGGATGGCTCTCGTCTCTCGTCAGACTAGCTTCTCCCCACTCTCGTCCTCAGTCTCGTGCCGTTGCTTGCCCCTCTCTTATTTATCCTCCTCCTCCTCCTCCTCCTCCTCCTCTTTCTCCTCTCTTCCTCCTCCACCTCCCCCTCTCCTCCTCCTCCTCCCCTCCTCATCCCTCCCTCCTCCCTCATCATCATCATCATCATCATCAATCATCATCATCAATCATCATCATCATCATCATCATCTCATCATCATCATCATCATCCCCCTCCTCCTCCTCCTCCTCCTCCTCATCATCTCATCATCATCAGCATCACATCATCATCATCATCATCATCAGCATCATCATCATCATCATCATCATCATCATCATCATCATCATCATCATCATCATTACCCTCCTCCTCCTCCTCCTCCTCCTCCTCCTCCTCCTTCTCCTCCTCCTCTCCTACTCCTCCTCCTCCTCCTCTTCCTCCCCTCCTCCTCCTCCTCCTCCTCCTCCTCCTCCTCCTCCTCCTCCTCCTCCTCCTCCTCCCTCCCTCCCTCCTCCTTATAATCCTTTCTCCTTCTCCCTCCTCCTCCTCCTCCTCCTCCCCTCCTCCTCCTGCTCCTGCTCCTGCTCCTCCTCCTCCTCCTCCTCCTCCTCCTCCTCCTCCTCCTCCTCCTCCTCCTCCTCCTCTCGGTTGGCACCTCCTCGTGTGTCGTCACCGCCGTCGTCCTCTGTCGTTCTCATCTGGTTCTCGTCATATGTGGTGGTCTGGTCGTCTCTGCTTTTGTCGTATTCTCTCGATGAGTCCGCCTCTGCTGCTGGACGCACCACTTCCTAATTATGTTATGATGCTCCTGTTCATCCTCATCACCGTCAACTCTGGAAGCCCTGCTTCACATCGTCGTCATCCACTTCCTCGTCGCCCTCCACCTCCTCCCAGAGACAACAGCTCCCAGCAATCGCCACAGCTTCACTTTCACCACCAAGTCCAACCCTCCGACCTTCCTGGTGGCCGTGGACCCGGTGTCGCGCGCAGAAGGCCAGTTTCCTTACCGCACGCCCTGCCCCCCCCTCCTGCTCTCCCCGTCATGCTTCCCTCGTCGATCTCTCCTCGTCCTCCCCGCCTCCCTCCCTCCTCCCTGCCTTGTTGGACCACCGCGCCGATTCTCGCGTCCTGCAGCGCTGCATGGTGCTTCCTTCGCGTTCGCACTTTGATGACGCCCTCCTCTTCCGCGTGTTCACCCGCTCTTGGGGTGAGAGCTCGGTGACGGCGGGGAGGCTGCTGCAATGCCGAGTCTGGCCTCCCAGAGGCCGGCGCCAGCGCCCTTGCTTGACCCAGGCAAGTTCCCCAGCATACCCGAAGGAGGAGGGGGAGGAGGGGGAGGAGGGGGAGGAGGGGAGGAGGAGGGGGAGGAGGGGGAGGAGGGGGGGAGGAGGAGGAGGAGGGGGAGGAGGGGAGGAGGAGGAGGAGGAGCCCCCCCAAAGCAACAACAACAACAACAACAACAACAACAACAAACAACAATCACTTTACCCGAACGCTCAGTGTTCTCACCAGTGCCAGGGTTTTCATGCGACGCCAGCCAATACCCCCACTTTGTGGGGGGGCAGTGCAAGCTCTACCAAATATCCACACGACTCTTCGCCACCACCCACACCCAGCTTCCCGCCCTATGACGTTCGGACACTTCACTTCGTGGCCTGCGGACGACCGTGGCTACTACACTGGCGTGGAGTACACACCCACAGAAGTTGTTAGGACAGCGCGCGCGGGTAGAAATTTTGAAAAGTCGTGCAGGTGTTTTTCGAGGACCTACGGTGCGATTCGTGTGATTTTATGATGCGCGGTGCTAAAATTCTTAAGAAGCCCAATGGTTTTTGGAGATTTCGGCGTGCGCGCGCGAAGAAAAAACGAATGTGTCCCGCATGGTATTATTTGACAGGGATGATGGCCCTGGCAGGTGCGCAACCGTTGTCGCAGAAGTTCGAAAAAGTTGCTCGCAAAAGCCCGTTTGACAGAAATGTTTAAAAAGTGTTGGGTTTCCTACGAATCCGCAAGAGCGCGCGGGATGAGATTTTGACATTTTTTTGTTGAAAAACCATTGGTTTTTTGATGTTTTTATGTTAAAATCGCTCCGAACACTAAGCTTTTGGAAGGATTTCGTCTTGCGCGCGCGAATGTCCACTTTACCTTATTTTTTGCAAGGGATTCTTGAAATTTGATTATATTAGAACAAGAAATGTCATTTTATAGTGTTTTTTGCAAGGGAAAGCGGGGGGGAACAAAACAACCGGATCTTGATCACATCGAATTACCTGAGGCTTCCTCACGAAAATGATGAAAATGTAGCTGCGGCCTAGGCGGCGCAGGGGGGCCGTGCACCAGGGGCCCCAACAATAATTATTCTTTAGAATTAATAATGTTCAACAACAACAACAACAACCACAACAACAACAAAAACAAGAACAACCACCACCACCACCACCACCACCACCACCACCACCACCACCACCACCACATCAACATCAACAACAACCACCACCACCACAACAACAACAACCACAACCACAACACCAACAACAACAACATGCCGAGCCTGGCCTCCCCACCCCCCCTCTCCGTGAGGTCCGCGCACCGCCTTCTCTTCGCCAGCCGGCGTCTGTCCGCCCGGCCTCGGGCCCCCAGGGCCCTCGCCAAGCGATCGGGCTCGAGGAGTGCAGCAGGCTTCTCAGTCGTGCACGCCCCGTCTACTGTCGGACCGAGATATAAGATCGAGGTCGGTTCGTGGAGGGTACCCTAGTGTTCTTCGTGCTCGTTGGACGTTATGATGCATCCTGGTGATGGTACCCTTGGATGTTCTGTGCGTTTTGGCCGACTGAGGGTCCCATGTTCTTGAGGAGTGTTCTTGTGGCCTAGGTCTGGCTGTACGGGAGGAGTACAGTCGGGCCCCTGAAGAAGGAACCCGTTTCGCTGGGGAGGGGCTCCGTGTTCCTCAAGCGTGTCGCAGCTTGCCTCGGATTTCCCTTGGGTTTCCGATGCGGAACGGAAGTTCAGCTTATGGA